TTTATTCCACAACAGTGCACTTCAAGCCAGGCACTGTTGTCTCACAGTAAGAAGTTTCTGTGTGGAGTTTGTTCTCTTAGGTTATTCTGGCAGCTCACAGAGACGTGGCCACAGGTGTGACTGTGAGTATTAATGGTTGTCTGTCTGTGTGGTAGGCCCTGCACTGGGCTGGGAATCTGTCCAGGGAGTGTGCTCTCCCTCTTGCCCTGTGACAGGATAGGCTCCGCCCTCCTGTGGCCCTAAACTGGATAAGTGCTTAAGGAAATAGATTTATGGTTGGATGGCATTCTCAAGCCTCACGTTTAAGTGCTAAAAACTACCATAAACCTAACTTAACTATGGTCCAAGTCCAAGCTGTCACTGCTTATAATCCCACTCTTAACACTGATCTTACTGTTCTTCTCCCAGTCTTGGCAAACAGGGCACACAGAAAACAATGCAGCAGTTTTAGGCATCACATCGTCACCAGTCCCCGTCGTAACCCAGGGAGATAATGTTGCTGCTTCAGTGACCTTTGCTGGGTTTATGACTGCCTGCTTGTGATGCATTTAGCGGGCATCTGTAAATTGTAGTAATAAAAAAAGATAACCCAAGTTACACCCTTCTCAAATGGGATCATCTCTAGTTGATTTAAAGTACTGAAAACATGAGATCCATCGGTCAGCAAAGTCTTTGGAGAGCTTTCATGTTCTTGCACACACGTATAAAACCAACAAACATGGAGCTTGTTTTGTGCTTTAAGGCGTTAAAAGTCCCTTAACCTCCTAGGACCTGGCGTCCACATATGTGGACATCACATTTTGGGTTATTTAGACCAAAATAGTCAATTTTGCACTACAAAAGTGATATCCACTTATGAGGACATTATACTGCTAGTGTTCGATCGAAATGAATATCCTAATATGTGGCTCTCATTTTTCTTAAAAACAAAAATCAGGTAAAGAAAATATCTGGTAATTCTTTGTTTTTACATTCATCGGGTCCCAATATGCCCAAATATCAAAGAGAAATTAAATATGCTGCTGTGGAAGAGTTCGGGTCTTAGGAGGTTAAATGAAACGCGATTGGAACAAAGAGCAGAGCGGAGGATTCTTACAGTGTTCTGTCTTCAGCAGCTCCTGAAAGTCCTGCTTTGTTTTCTTCTTCATTATCGACTCGCTGGCACCAATGTCTGGAAGAGAAAATGCTCTTCAGCAACGCAGCCGTGCAGATATGGCTCGGAGTCAGCGGTAGGATACTGTAACACTCACGCAGGGTCAGCAGTCGATGTTCCTGCTTCAACCCTTTCAGCTCCTCTGACACAAACGTCTTCATCTGCTTTATGTCCATCCCCCGACGTTTCTGTAGAGTTATTAAAGAAAACCAGACAAAAGGTGTTAGCTGTTATCCTTACTGGTCACTAATGCTTCAGCTACGTCATAATTACCCCTCTGAAACACTGCAGGGTAACCTGACACTATGTAACTATGTAACTAAATGTAACTACACGTCGCATCAACGCAGCCCAACACTACTGTGAGGGGTTCAGCACCGTCAGATCATCTGGACAATTTCCAGATACTTTTTTGTTGTAGTTTTTGAGACAATAACAATTATAGCATCAAAGTGTCAAGATAAAGACTCACAAACGTCACTCCAGCAAATTCCTGGAGCGAGATCACTGAAACTACTGGAACGTACAGAGAAAGAGGAAAAACTAGAGGGACAAAAATGTTTGCTGACCTAAACAGAGAGCGCAGACGCAGGAGCATTTTATTAGTTTCTATTGGCTGGCATCGCACAAAAAAAAATCGACCATGAGGTAATAAACACGTAACGCACCAATGCAAATATAAATGCCATTTTTCAAGGTTGTGCCGTACAAAGACTCTCTAAATCAAGCCACGGGTGCAATGATTGCTAAGCAGTATGAACATTCACTCACGTCATATGCAGTCTGCAGATTCCTGGCTTTCTGACTGAGAAAACCAAAGACGTTGGAGAAATGCTCATTTCTGATTTCACTGAACACCTACGAAACATTAGACACACTTTTCTATTAGAATCACGACAGTTAGCAAAGGGCAGCCGACCGCAGACTAAGACGAGCCTTACCTTATCCTGAGAGTTCAGCATCACTTTCACACTTTTGTCAGAGGCGGTAACATCAGGTCCAAACTCCACACATCCTGCACAACAGTTGGAATGATCAGACAACATATGGATATTTTTCAAAAGTCCCCCAGCCGGCGCTGGGGGAAACACCACAACCAGCGGCGTGGCTTCGAAAGAGCTAAGAATGTGAGGGCGAAACGCTCTGCTCAAGAGGTCAGAGGTGACGTGTTTCTCCCAGGCATAAAGTGAACGTGTGAGTGGATTCGATTTACTGACACCTACCACATTTGATTCTAAAGATGTCATCAACAAGTCCTTCGTAGACAACTTGTGAGCACAGAGGAGTAACAAAGTC